TTTTTACTCGGAGGTTGAATTTTAGCAAACTCGGTTTCTATTGAAAGATAATTCAACTATATATAATTTCATTGGTCCTGAGACACCTAATTCATTTTGTGCTAAGAGTAATGACTATTTAAAGTTGACCCAAGAACATTTCCCCCTTACCTCACTATTAACTTTCACCTACGGTTAGACCTACGGACCGTAGATCGAACGACGGTCCATGCTAGTCATTCGTAGTTCATGTCAGAGGCTGGATAACTTGAGTCTTAATTCACGAATACGACCACAGACCGTAGTCTGACTTATGGACCATAGATCTATCTGTAGATCGACACTTCGTCGATTTTCTAGGCTGAGTTTTTGGGAGGGTTTCAGTGGCAAACGATGGATGCACAGTACAGGCCATAGATCAGACTATTGTCCGTAGATTGTGACGTCGAATGCACCTATAGAATTTTAAAAAGCTTATTTTTCGTCTGTTTTGAATACGGGGTGCTACTCTAGTATTCGTCAAAGTGAAAAACAACATTATCGAAATTGTAAACTTTCTTTAACAACTTTTCTCCATTGTTTTCTGGTAATACGATGTACTTACCTTTATCCAATACATCATAGAAATAAGTAACTTTATTTGATGGCTTTTCTCCATTACTTTCTAGTAAGAGAATTGACTTACCCTTTTCCGTATTGAATTTGATAGTTGATTCTTTATTGCTTTCTAGAACAAAAGTTGGATTAGTTGCTTTTCACTTCTCTATAATTTTTGGGGGAACAACTTTTGAGTTACCTTTCTCTGGATTGTACGGTGTAGACTACAATACTACAAGAGAATAAAAAAAGAAATTTAAAGGGATTCAGACCTACAGAGTAAATAATATGTGGAATATAGGGAAGGCATTGTTGATTGATTAAAACAAAAAAAATTCCTCAATACAGTTTAACTAGGTCAAGCATGTAATAGTAGCGAAAATGTATGGATTTAGTTGGTGGTTGACGACCAATAGAAAGAAATCGGACAAAAGATGAAGTTTTAAGCTTACTAACTAGGGTTTTCACCTATATTCATTCTTCTATCCCTCTCCTACGTTTCCTTTTGCCTTCTATCCCCCAAAAGGGGAAGGCAGGGATTAAAAGATGGAAAGAGCATAAGAAGGCATAAACAAGATGGAAAGAAAATGCAACAACCTAAAATCATGTAAGACCAACAAAATGTTAAAAAATGGATATACACCATACCATAAATTTCACGCATATCTCCCCTATATTTTGAGTTGTTATTCATCTAAGATCTTATAATCTCAATAGCCCGCTGAAATGCAGGACTGTTGGCAACTGATGCTATAATTGCTGAAAACGACTGAGGCACTAAAATTCCGTTAGGATTTCCAATATTATAAATGCCACCAAGTGTGTGATTGAGATCAATTTGTTGTTCTATCACTTTTATTGGTAGATGTTTTACCCATTGGTGTTGCCATATATCACTATAAGAAAAAAAAAACAATACATAAGATGCAAATTATATGTTTAATTTTACCCTTTGGTGTAGCCATATATCACTATAAGAAAAAAAAAACAATACATAAGATGCAAATTATATGTTTCATTTTAGGATATATATGTATATATATATATATATATATATATAAGTTACTTTGTTTTAGGTAGGACATTCAAATGAGGGTTGAGTTGAATTAACATGAGAATAATATGTGTTTAACAAATTAGTAAATGAAGGGGGCTTGTAACCTAGTTAGACTACACTTTGATTACGTTTAAATTCATCAAGATAATCTAAACAATGAATTGGTATTGAACCTATAACAATTTAAGTCAATAGTTTATTTTTCAATTACCATTTAGTTTTTAATTAAACCATTTCAGGTGCATAGTAGTTTGATCGATTAGGATAATACTATTTAATAAAAAGAAAGTAGTATTGTACAAAAGTTTTGGGATTTTTTGTATAAAGACTAACCTTTAGGAATTAATAGAAATTAACTATATTATTTCAATATCATTAATAGCTGAATCAACAAACAAGATGATGTAGAGGTGACTGAAATTGTAACATAAAGATGGTGTAAGTTAGAAGTGTGATTAAGTGGTAAAATGGCCATAGTAACTCCAACTTAAGTTATGACAATGACATGAAAGTTTGTAATCAATTTATGAATTAGAAATATAAATTAATCAATGGGTGATAAATAGGGAAATGAATTAAGAATGAGCTCCATATTATCACTAATGACTCCGAGAACTTAATAAGTACCATACATTGAATCAATGAATATGATTTATGATACAAATGAGAGTGTGAAACTAATATGACTTGCAATAAAGGTTTTAATATGTCCGATTTGTTGAAATTGAATAAATACTTACATATCAAAAATAAATTATGTTATGTAAATTGAGTATGTTATCTTGTGTTCGAGTAATAATAGTTGTTTAAAATAGGTTAATGTAAAAAATAAGATGACAAGATGATTTTCGTTTATATGCATAAATGCATGCTTCATGCAAGTTATATTTGAATCTAATAATAATTTCCATATTGTAAAGTTATTCATGTGTTAGACCGAGAAATGCCTTTATGTTATGCCTAAAGGTATCAATGCTTAATGATTGCCTTCGGGGTGATATATGCAATGCCTAAGTGGTTATTAAGACGTACTAATTGTCTATGAGGATATAGTATTAAGTATATATATATTAAATTGCACATGTCGAGCTTATGAGGGATCAAGTAGGTAGTATTGTGTATTGTTTATATTTGTCGATCTTATGGGGGCCGGGTAGGTTGTTCTTTTATTAGTGTTTGCTTGCTAGATTCAAGAGTAAGTCATTACAATCAATTTATTCTTCACTCCTTAAATGATTATTTTAAGATTATGATTCAAACTAAGTTATTTTATTGTCTTTCATACTTGATACATTACTTCATGCTGATTCTTCATTGCCTAGGGTTGCTATATTCTCTCTTATAGATCTTGACAGCTACGTACACATATAGATTGATAAGCTGGAGAATTCTTTACCAATTTTGTACATTGTATATGATCTAATACATTCTGTAATACATTGCCAAGTCATTTTAAGAATATGTTGTTTTGACTTTTATTGAAAATTTGTAATGATAAATCAGTTAAAACTCCATGACAAATAAAAAACATCAAATTAAAACTTAAAGTTTAACCTAAACAAGTTGACAACATTTGTAAGATAACGAATTACACATTACCTATTAACACATCATCAACTTTTAAAATAAATTTCACATGAATTATCTGTTGAGAAGTTAGTTCCAGATATAGTTGTCTGTTGATAACTAGTGTGTTAGTTAAATTAAATGAATGTAATTCTGTAAGAAGTGTCAGTTCGTTGTTTAGTGAAAGTCTTCCGTTCATATATATGAACAAAAGTTCATTCGTAGAAGCATTTATCTCTTTTCACAGTTTGTAAGTTATTTATTGTGTGGAAATATAATTTAAGCTTCTATCTTAGTTCATTGAGTTTTACATTGTATCAAAGCAAGGAGGATGAATCTAGGGATTTATCTCAGCTGGAATTGACGATTTCATACAATTAATGCTGCAAAAGAATTCAATAACATCTTGAGAAATAGAGACCATTTGCGCGGATGTCTGGCGATTGATGAAGTCTTTTGAAGAAATTGAAATTATATATATTCCTCGAACATGGAATGTATTAGCCATAATCTAGCAAAAAATTCTATTTCATGTATAAAAATAGGATTTCTTGGCATTCTTGCTTCCCAAATTATGTTGTAAAGGATGGAATGGTGTCTTATGGATATATGAAACATGTTTTACAATAATGAAATCAAGTTTTTTCCTAAAAATGAACTTAAAGTAACTTCTAAGGTATGAAATAAAAGATATTTTAGGTAGATTTTAATTGTGTAATGCTTATCTGACATTGTACCCTTAAGATATCGATATTTTTTGGAAACCACCAAAGAAATTAGAGTCAAAGAGAAGATTTTCACGATTCTTTGAATATTTATATTCTCAATTCCATCTTCAATTATGATGGTGACACTAGTTTTTATAGCCATTTTATGAGTTAAAAAAATAGATTAATCAATGGGTTGAAAGATAATGCAAAAAGATGAAAAGTATAGAAATGGATTAAGGATGAGTCTGGTATTATCCCTAATGTCTCTAATAACTCGACATGTACCATATATATCAAATTAATGGATATGATTTATGGTATAAATGGAGGCGATGCAACAAACATGACTCGCAATTAATATTTTAGTCTGTTAGGGATTATTGAGATTGAATATCTACTAACATAAAAAAAATAGTTGTGTTAGGTAGATAGAGTATGTTATCTTGTGTTCAAGCTTGAACAATTGTTTTAAAAAGTTAATAGAAAAGGTAAGGTGATATATACCTTTATAAAATCTTTTCTTAACACCGTGAATCTCCATTATATAAAAAGATGTTTTTAATGTAAATGTATTCATACAAGTTATATATTAAATGATATTGATTCTTTTATACGATATTGATGTTATATTGATTTTTATGTTAAGTTATCCATGTGTTGACAGAAGAAATGCCTTTATGATTATTATGCCTAAGAGGCTATCAGGGCATAGTGGTTGCCTTCGAGGTGATAAATGTAGTGTCTAAGGGGTTATAAGACATAGCAATTGCTTATGGATATGTGGGTATATATGTTGATTTGCATCTACCGAGCTTATGGGAGATCAAGTAGGTGATATTTGTTGTTTTTTGAACCTCTCGATCTTATAGGGTCCTAAATAGGTTGTTTGATTAGTGTCCGTTTTCTAGATTTTGGAGCTTGTCACTATAATCAACTTGTTCTTGACTCCCTTACATGATTCCATTCATATTATGATATCCGCTGAGTTATTTTATTACCTTTCATACTCAATACATCAGTTCATAGTGATGAGGCCCTCAAGAATGAAAATATATAATGCACAATTTATTACGACTTCATGTAAAATGAAAAACATCAAAATAAAGTTTAAGGTTGAATTTGAACAATTTGACAACATTTTATAAGATTCGTTGATTTATGCATCATCAACTACATTAATAAACTTCATGGGATTAAGAATCTCTTTCCCACCGCCATGCTTCATAAATTCAGATACCGTGAAGAACCTCTCATTTATGATACCACCAGAAGTTGTAACACAAGTCATAGTCCTTAGTAGATTACTAGTATTCATCAAAATGACAACATTATTGGAATTCTTAACTTTCTTTTACAGCTTTTCTCCATTGCTTTCTGGTAATACAATTGACTTACCCTTATCCAATACTTCATCAGAATTCTTAACTTTCTTTGATGGCTTTTCTCCATTGCTTTCTTGTAAGAGAATTGACTTTCCCTTTTTCGCATTGAATTTGATAGCAGATTCTCCATTGCTTTCTGGAACAAATGTTGGATTAGTTTCTTTTCTCTTCTCTGTAATTTTCGGAGGAACAACTAATGAGTTACCTTTCTCAAGGATGTACGGTGTAGACTCCAATATTAAGACTTATAGTTTAAATAAATAAGTGGAATATAGGAAAGACATTCTTGATTGATTGAAACAAAACAATTTTCTCAATACAATTTAACTAGGTCAAGCATGTACGAGTAGTGAAAATATATAGATTTAGTTGGTGATTGACGACCAATAGAAAGCAATCGGAGAAAGGAAAAAGTTTAGAAGCTCAGTGACTAGGGTTGTCAGCAAAATTCAATCTGCTATTCCTCCCCTACGTTATATTTTTGTCTTCTACCCCAAAAAGGGGAAGGGGGAATAAAAAAAATGAAAAGATCATAAGAAGGCATAAACAAGATAAAAAAACAGAAAGCAACAACCTAAAATCACGTAAGACTAACAAAATGTAGAAAAATAGATGTACACCATACCATAAATTTCAGGCATTTCTTCCCTATCTTTTGAGTTGTTATTCATCTCAGATCTTATACCCTTAATAGCCCGCTGAAATGCAAGATTGTTGGTAACTGATGCTATAATTTGTGAAAACTGCTGAGGTATTGAAATTTCGTTAGGATTTCCAGTATTATAAATGCCACCAAGTGTGAGATTGAGATCAATTTCTTGTTCATCACTTCTATAGGTAGAAGTTTTACCCTTTGGTAAAGTCATAGATCTGTACAAGGAAGAAAAACAAATACATAAGATGCAAATACTGAAAATATTATAGGTTTATTTTTAGGAAAATCATATAATTGAGATTGATTATATCTATGTATGAACCATATTAAGTTTATTGATTGAAGAAATTGAAACATGGAATTAGTGAACTAATAAAACACATCATATGCCAAAATTAAGATGTACTCACAAAGTAATGAAGAAGCAGGCAGAAGAAACTAAGAAAAATGCACATCTGCTATGTTGTGTCAAAGAATGGAGTAAGGATTATATAGTAGAAGTGAAGCAAATAGTAAATTATTTACCCTTACAATCTTTTTTTTTCTATCAACCTCTACATATACATCTTTGTAATTAACAAGTCACAAAGGGGTAAGATCGGTATGCAATATTTTAAATACGTTTTTTTAATGAGCTACGCTCAAATCTATCCTCAAATTTAATGCATTGTTTGACCATGTTGATTTATAAATTTAAGTTGAATTTAAACAATGTATTCATTTAATAGAATGGCCTAAATATAAAAATGGTCTAAGATTATTTAAGTTAATACAATCTACATTTAATGAAAGGGGACTTAGACTATGACACAATAGAGACTTAACATTATGAACAAGTTAAATTACTGGAATGGTGCCATGGTAGTTATTAATTGATCTAGAAAATGATGTTATTGTACTACTCTTTATATCATATAATCATATTCTAATTTACATTGTTTTAGGTAAAAGATTCAAATGAGGGCTGAGTTATATAAACATGACAATAGTATAATGTGTTTAACATATCAGTAAATGAAGGGGACTTATATCCTAGTTAGACTATACTTTGATTACGTTTAAATTCGTCAAGATAAACTTAACAATAAGTCGATACTGAACCTATAAAATTTAAGAAATTTTTTTTTCTATTACCATTTAGTTTTTAAATAAACCACTTTGAGTGCATAGTAGTTTAATCGATTATGATAAAACACTTAAATAAAAGGAAAATATTATTGTAGAAAAGTTTTATGGGATTTTTTTATAAGCCTAACTTTTAGGAGTTAATATAAATTAACTATATTATTTAAATATCCATAAGTACTGAATTAACAAACAATATGATGCAGAGGTGACTGAAACTATAACATAAAGATGGTGTGAGATAGAAGTGTGTTTAATTGGTAATGTGGCCATAATTACTCCACCTTAAGTTATGAGACTGACCTCAGAGTTTGTAATAAATTTATGAATTAGAAACGTAAATTAATCAATGGGTTGAATGATAAATAGGGAAATCAATTAAGAATGAGTTGGATATTATCACTAATGACTCCAATAACTTGATAAGTACCATATGTTGAATCAATGAATATGATTTATGATACAAATGAGACTACGCAACTTGTATGACTTGCATTCAATGTTTTGGTATGTCCGGTTTTGTTGAAATTTAAATACTAAGAAATCAAAAATAAATTGTGTTATGTAGATTGAGTATGTTAGCTTTTGTTCGTGCAATAATAGTTGTTTAAAATAGGTTAATGTAAAAGGTAAGGTGATAAAATATTTTTAATATATATGTCACACTCCGAGCTTACACCCTGGCGGGACTAGCACTCTAGAACCATTGTTGGCCCCAAGCGAACCCTTAGTATGTCTTACTTACTCAGCGGAAGACTGAAACATAAGAAATAAAACTCATGCAATAACTTAATTTAATAGCTTAGCGAAAAATGGCAACTCAACTCTTAAACGTATACAACTAAAAACAGAATAATAAGACTAAAGAACTATAACTATCTGTCTATGAAACCTCTAAAACAAAGAGGGATGTCGGGACAACATCCCTAATCATCTTAACAACTGTAAACTAGAAGGCAATGAAAACGGAGCCTCCGGAAAGTAAAGAGGCTCACTGTAACGACCTGTTTAGTCGTTTTGAGCAGCAGATTTTATTTCTGAAAAAACATGCTGAGGCGACGGACCCCACGACGGACCGTCATGGGCACGACAGACCGTCGCAGGCTCTCGTTCCATAACACTTAGAAAATCTGAAATTGGGTGCTGAAAATCGACTCTCTGAACTTCGTAACGGAATTGCAGGACGGACCGTCACAGGTGTGACGGATCGTCGTGAGCCCCCGTTTTAAAACACTTCAACTCGTGAGAATTTGGTACAGGGAACGATTCTCTGAACGTCGTGACGGAAGTGCAGGACGGACCGTCACAGGCACGACGGCCCGTCACGGACTACGCAATCCCAGGCTGGGTCGGATTTCTTTACACGTTTTGAGGGACGTTTTGCACTATTCCTACTTTAATTATAAAGTTAGAGGGTTAATGTTAATAAATCTAATTACTTGGGGGTTAAAAGAGGTAACCTTAAGTTAATTAGTGGGTTATTATTTCCATCTTTTATTCTTAATTATATACTAATTAGGGTAAAAGAAAGGGGGTTTGAATAAAGAAAATAGAAAGAACAAGAGAAAGAGGGAGAAAGTCGAACGAGAAAGAGGAGGAACGAAGAGAAACAAAGCTTGGGAAATTGCTTGCTTGATCACTAATCTTCGGTGGAGGTAGGTTATGGTTATATTCATGCTATTCATAGTAAACTCTTAATAGCGAACGATATGTGTTAGTAGTATTGTAAACCCTTCTATATGCTTAATTGTATGCTTGCATAAATGATGTGATTATGTAATTATGAATAAATAAGCATGATGAAGCTATTGAAATCTCAAATCTTGAAAAGAAACCCTAATCTACTTTGTTAATGATGATGCCTTGGTATAAAAGAAGGCTTGATGAACGAAAGTAGTGAGATTAGGGGATCGGGTGCCACGTTCCGGTACCAGGATAGAATATGGATCGGGTGCCACGTTCCGGTACAAGGATAGTATATTAGGATCGGAGTGTCACGTTCCGACACCAGGATAGAATATGGATCGGGTGCCACGTTCCGGTACCAGGATAGTATATGAGGATCGGAGTGTCACGTTCCGACACCAGGATAGTATATGGATTGGGTGCCACGTTCCGGTACCAGGATAGAATATATGGATCGGGTGTCACATTCCGACACCAGGATAGAATGAGGATCGGAGTGTCACGTTCCGACACCAGGATAGTATATTGAGGAGCGGAGTGTCACGTACCGACACGAGGGGAATAAGGATAATGAATCTTGAAAGATGTTAATATATTCAATCTAATGAACCGAATTCCCAAATAAGTATGATGAGGAGGTGTGAGTCCTCATTGATGTGCTTGGTGTTGTAACCAAGGGTTATGGTAACTGTAAATGCTGCATGTTAAGGATATTAGTCGATTTTATAATATTGCTTAATATATACTGTTTTCTATTTTGAGTCTGCCGATGATATCTACTCAATACCCGTGTTTGTACTGACCCCCTACTTTTATGTTTTCTTCTTTGTTATTTGTGGAGTGCAGCAAACGTGCCGTCGTCTTCAACTCAACAGTAATTCTAGCCAGTCTTCGTCACACCGGATCTTCAGGGTGAGCTAATGCTTCTAGCTTGGACTGGACTTTCTTCCTCCTGTCTTGATGCCTCGAAGTTTCGGCATGGACTAGCTTTTACTTGTTTTAGCTTTTAGAATACTCTTAGTTTAGTCATTTGATCATAGATGTTCTTGTGGTGATGACTTCAAGATTTTGGGGATAATGATAAGTTTTGAGTTATAGAAGTTGATTATTGATTTTGTTAATGAGTTTTAAGTCTTCCGCATTGTTTTCTATTTATTATGTTCGAAATGTTAAGGTTTAGATTGGTTGGTTCGCTCACATAGGAGGGTAAGTGTGGGTGCCAGCCGCGATCCGGTTTTGGGTCGTGACACTCACCAACTGACTCTGAGTGCTCAGCCTGCCAATGAGGCGCTGGATGTTGATCCTGGTTACCTACGTCTGCATCATAAGACGATGAAGGTCAATTGGCATCAGTACATTGAATGTACTAGTATGCAAGTTGAAATGTTAAACATAACATAGGCTTGAAAAGAATCTGAAAGAAGCACTACTTACCTTGGCTTTACTCAACTCATGAATACACAAATCAATATAAATTAATAAAACATATGTAATATAGAGAAAGCTTTTAAAACAGTAGAAAATAACTTAGTTCGTTAAAGAAAATGTTATAAACAAAATCAACTTTACTCATATAATAAAGTAATATAGTTTATGTGAAGAGATTCTCTAACCTAAAACCACTACCAACAACCTAAGTGGTAATACAACGTCTTGCCACGCTACAAGAATTGTCATATACTTTTTCGTCATGTAGAATACATTAACTAAGTAGATCCACTAGCTTATGCTAAAAAGCACTTAATGATTAATCTAAAAAGTATGATCATTTACTACTCGTGATGGGTAAAATGGTTTATGGAGGCTTGAGTTACCTTGAACTCGTATCCCAATATAGGTGCTCAATACTACTCCCAAAATATAATTAGCTCATATGTTTGTAAAAAACAAAACTCTTTCTTTGGTTTGAGATAACTATTCAAAACATAGCTCATAAGCTCTTTTGGAATCGATGTTCCATTTTTTTCTCAAATTAAAAAAAAATCTAAAATCTTTGGAAATACATAGTCTCCATATACTTCTTTGAAGAAATGAACTTCAATTGTTTACTCTTTACTTAACTTGAACTTTAAATATGCAAACAAAGTTAAAACGTTTGCCAAAGACTTTTGAAAACTTTAAGAAATTCTCATGACATGCTCTTAACTTCTAGAGTTGACTCTTAACTTTTCTTGAATTGAATAATGGATTCAAGAATTGCGATTTGTGATAGAAAGGATCTCGCAATGTTTAGGAATGTTTTTAGATAGTTAAACAAGAGAAGAGACCAAGAAATCATTGTCTTGGAGAAAGTCCATGACACATAAATGTATTTAAGATATTTGATTGTGAAATTTAATTTGGAAACAGAGGAGTCTGTGTCCTAATCTCGACGTGGAGGATTTATGTGAAAAGAGGAGTTTGTGTGCCAAAACCTGCT